TGTTGGGTCTGGGTCGCCCCTTTCCTTCTATCGTCGCGTCGTCTTTTTTATTCTTTATGATGCGTGTTCGACGCGGTGTCGTGATTTCTTCGCTCTGTCCTATTCATGACGCGCCGTTCTCTTTACTTGATACGCACCCGCTGATCGATGCGGTGCTTGTTCCTATCCAATAGGCAAAGTCAAGCTTCCGGCTCTCACTTCCCCAACCACCACCACACCAAGTAGCGTCACTACCCTCACCACCAATGCCGGAGGAAGTGGAGGTGGACCGTCCGCCCTGGCTGCTCTCCATGCGCAAGTCCAAGCCCAAGCAGCTCGACACCAACAACAGCTCGATATCAGTCAACAGCAGCTGCAGATGGCGATCCAGCAGAGGACGACAAACGCTGCTGCTGATGCTGCGTTGAGGGAAGAAAGGGAACAGGAGGAGGCTGCCGCGATGATGAGCGGTGCTGGGCCCCTTACAGGGAGCACTATCACTGGAGGAGGCAGAGAATCGGAGACGGAGATGGAGATGGATCGACAACAGCAGCAGCGCTTCCAGCAGCAACAACAAGAGAGGAGCAGCTCAAATTCGACCATGAACCCGCTCATCCCGTTCTTGGCGTCGACGGGTGCGACGTCTTCCTCGGATTTCGTGAATCCAGGTGCGATGCAGCAGGGAGGAGAGTTGGGGAGGGCAACGCTTATGCAGATGAGCGAGATGAGTCGCAGAGCTGCCACTATGGGTGGGTTGGCCGGGTGGGCGGGGGAGCAGGTTCAGCCCCCAGGTCGAGGACGGGATGTGGAGCGCGGACAACAGGCGGAGTATCAAAGGGAGGATTCGAGGAGGAGGGAGAGTATGGATGTGGATGGGTCATCCGGTCAGCAGCGGTGGTATGATAACGGTGCCTCCACCTCTACTGCGAACAACGCCGCTGGGCCATCGTCGTCAAACGGTCCTTCCAGCAACAACGCCAATGCAGCGTCATCGTCAAGTGGTCGTAACAATGGCCTGATGAGCATTAACCTCTCTGGTCTGCAGGGGATGCAAGGGTTCGGAGGTCTAGGCGAGCTGGGAGGGCTGATGATGATGGGTGAAAATGCAGAGGCGAGTGCGATGCATGAAGGGCTGCAGGTGTATACGGTTGGCCACTTGATGCCGAGGGGGAGCTATGAACAGGAGGAGATGTATAACGCTCCTTCCGGGAATGCGAGGGCGAGTGGGAGTGGGAGTAGAGGAACAGGAAGTCGAGATGCCAACACGAACGCGAGTGGGAGTGGAGATGACCAGTGGAGCTTTGATACCAGCGGGTTGGCTGCTGGAGGGATGTTGGGTGGTCTGGGGATCGCGCAGCAGCAACAACAACAGCGGTATCAGGAACAGCAAGCCCAGCAGCAGCAGCAGCAGCAAGGGCGAGGACGGTCGTCAGATGAAGAAGACGAGATGGTTCAGCCGTCTATCAATACGACCGACGAAAACGGGGATTTGGTCGTGCAGAACTCATCGAATACATTACCAGGATCAGCGTCTGCAACTTCTCCACGTACCTCTCAAGCCCACGCTTCGTCTTCATCGTCCTGCGCAGGCAAGGAGAGACATTGGCAATGAGGAACCGCTGTCAATCTCTACTCCTGGAGTTCTCGCCAACTCTCGTCGGACAAATACTGGAGCTGGATCGGCGACTGACGGGAAACCAACAATACGAGTCAGAAGGTCAACCTTTGTTCCTGGTTGGGCTGTTCCCCCTCGTGTGTTGTTGGTGGACGACGATGCTGTCAGCCGAAAGCTCAGCTCCAAGTTTCTGCAGGTCTTTGGGTGCACTACGGATATCGCTGTTGATGGTGTCGGTGCGGTGAACAAGATGAATTTGGAAAAGTATGATTTGGTCTTGATGGTGCGTACTCGCGGGTTTGGAGTATGGGACAGGTGCTAATGCTCGTTTCAGGATATTGTCATGCCAAAGTTGGACGGTGTCTCCGCCACCTCGATCATTCGCAAATTTGACAAAGGCACGCCTATCATCTCCATGACGAGTAATTCAAAGCCGAATGAGATTATGACCTATTATTCGAGTGGTATGCTCCCCTCTCATGCCTTCTTGCCCTCCAACATTAACTCTCTACAGGGATGAACGACATTCTTCCCAAACCATTCACAAAGCAAGGCCTCCTCGACATGCTCGAAAAGCACTTGATGCACTTGAAGGTTATTCAGCAGATGCAACGGAATATTCCACGTGGGCCTGGCGTTCCGCCCCTCTCAGACTTCAACTTTGAACAAGCGTTGGCGATGGGTGGCACCATGGGTCTCGGAGGGCTGGGCATGGGGTCGAACATGGGCGGGATGGGCATGGGGATACCACTTGGGTTGCCGGGCCCTGGACCTAGTTCTTCTCAGCAGCAGCAGCAGCAGTTGATGCAGCTCCAGCAGAATCAGCAACAGGGAATGGATCAGCAGGGTCAGGGCCAGCAAGCGTTTGGTTTCTATGGCCAGGAACAAAATGGAGAGGATGCCGGACTGGATAACAGGATCAACCCACTCGCTGGTATGGGCCTCTCGGACGAGCAGTTTATCATGATGGCGCAAATGGTGAATAGTGGGGACGGTGGTGGGGAAGGGTTCATGGGCGGGATGTCGAACTACAGTAGTGGCGGTCGAAATGCGGCTGCAAGTGGAAGTGGGCAGCAGAGTCAAGGTTCGGGCCAAAATCCAAGTCAGAATCAGGGACGAGGAGGAGCGACGATGATGTATGGTGTGGGGATCAACTTTGGAATGAGTGATTCGCCGCCGTCTGGAGGAGGTACGAAAAGAGGTTTGGAGGATGGGTCGGATATGGATGGACCGATGGGCAAAAAGAGTAGGTTCGAAGTTATTGAATGACCCGTTGGCCTCTTCTGTGATCTTTGGTTGCTCATAGAACTGTGTTTCTTGTCGCTTGTCGCTATCGCTTTGCTTCGCCCTTCAGACAATTTAGACTCCGCTGCGCTACCTTTCCTCCTGCTTACTATGCTTTCCTCGATTATCGTAGTAGCCTCTTTATGCGTTGCGCTTTCTTACACAACAATTTACCCGCACATACATCTGCATCGAGACCATGTATCTATTATCTCATAACCCAAACAATTGATTGACATCCAAGCCGCGCCATGTATTCCTTATCTGCACGATAAAACAGTGTGTTGACACTACTACAAGCATTAACTCTGCATGGCACGGGCACACTACATCGTTAGCCCGACATGAGCATTGGTATAACGTCCAAAGAGCATTTCTCCGAATCCAAGGCCAAGGACGAGAGAGATCAAAAAGGCACCCTGGTAGGTCCTAAATCGATCAAGAAGTATCGTCAGTGTCCCTTGCAAGGGCCGACGGAGATGGCAACGGCGAAAGTACATCAACGAGGCTTCGAATGGTGGAGCATACCGACGCGTGCCAATGGAGCGGGGAAACAGAATGGGAGAGGAAGCGGAAGAGAAGCAGATTTAGGAGGTAGAGACTCACATGACAACTAGCATAAATGCGAAAGTAAGTGCCGACTGGGCGGCATACAAGATTCCTCGGCAGAGCTCGTTCATAGACATTGGTGGTGCGCTGAATCGGGCTCGGAAGGTCCTGTATGGCACAGCTGGGCTGACTGGTGTCGAGGCCGCAGGTAGCTCAGCAATACTGTTCATATTGACCTTCTCGCGTTCGCTCGACGAACTATGCTTGGACTCGGTCGCCAGTCGTCCGGCACGGGGATGACCAAGGTGGGAACTGTGCATGGTGTCGAGGATGTCGGTTGTTCTGTTGTAGCTCTCAGTAAAGGCTTCTGAAAAGATCTCAATCATGATGAGGAGCGTACCGAGCCCTCCACCATAGATTTGCCACAGCTCTGACGGCCGCTATCCACCTCTCAAGGATACCCAGCAAGAAGAGTCCGATGCATGCACCCGCCATTGCACCGGTGGTTTTGGGAACCCAGTCCTCAAACCAAAGGGTGTCGCCGACGGTGAAGTGGATGTAAGGCTTCATGGAAGCGTAGTTGGAAGCAGGCATTGGACTGGCAGAGCCCGATGCTTCGTCCCATCCTTCGTGTCCCTCGTGTTGGGCAACTGCAGAAAACCCAAGAAGGATGAGAAGGCAGGCCCTGAGCGTCACATTTGAGTGCACTGAAGCCATCGGGACAGCAGGTCACAGCGAGCCAGAGACCCTTGAACAAGGCAGAGATATCGGGAAATTCGTGCCATGAAATATTATAAGTAATCATGAACAAGGGGTCGCTTGGTACCATCATGCTAGGACCGAACACCGATCAGATTCACCGAGGATGCTAAGAATTGCTTCGAAAAATCTTGTCAGGATAGGGTTGCCCCGACATAACGGCAAAACTTGGGTCTCATGAGGCATTTCTGCAATACGTCATTGTGGGCCGACGGATGAAAGGCAAAGACCTGATACAAGCGTAAGGTAACTTCAAAGTCCAATTTATCGATTATAGTGATGGCGCAGCGCGGCGAAGTTCCCAGGGGGAAGCAAGAAGATCTTCGACCTTGCTTTAGCATGGTCTCTGGAAGTCTGAATTACTAAGAATGTGTGTGGGAATCTGGCAATAACAAATAGATACAAAGCTTTCGCGAAATGGTCACTTGCACTCTCGCTGATTCAAGTTTGGATGGGTTATACAGCAATTGGAAATTCAATACGGCCTCTATTCTCTCGTTTCGCGCGTCTCTGCTCATGTCTTCTGACGTTTCACAATGATTATACAGTGACTTCCATTCATTCGCGAGCGCGAGCGCGCCGCAGGCGCGCGGTAGCGAGCGAATGCCTATTTGGATCTGATTCCGCTATCTTCATCTACGAATTCTGGCATAGAAATTCTCGAATGCCCTCAGTCTCAGCATCACCCAAGAGTGGGATGCTAAAGCAAGGTCCAGAGTCGCGGGACGCGGCCCTTTTATAAGTAATTAAATGTGCATTGCGCCCAAAAGAAGGTCGCTCTGGTGTAGGAGGACTGCCTTCGAGTTTCTTCCGCGCCTCCTTAGCTCAGCTGGTAGAGCGCGTCACTTGTATCTTCTCGTCGAAGTGTGGATGACGAGGGTCAGTCGTTCGAGTCGGCTAGGGGGCACTGAGATGATATACCGATTTGTTTTGCCCATGGACTATACCTAGCACGGCGTGAATTTAATAAGTTGTATCCTCTTCTTCTCAAAATAACCGGGACATTAGATGTTATGAGCAGCGTTCAAGTTCGTATCCCAAGCTTTCGAGATATGCTACGGACTTATGGTACCTCCCCACAACCTCCTGTGCTGCCCAGATCCACAGGATTCATTTAATTCGGCACGACCCATCCAGGATATGCGCCCGCCCACTCCCCACATGGATATTGCTCATTTGGATTCCATAGCGGTTTGCGGCAGGTCGAATTTGGTGTCACGCGGGGTAAGCCCCCACGAGCCGCACCTCTCAGTAGCGCTGTCGAACCCCTTCACGTTGAGGCTGCCATTTCGATGTGGGTGTCGATACGGCTCTGCGCCATTCTCGGTAAAGAGGCGTTTCTCGGACGTATTACACAAGGCACAGCGGGCAACTACCTCAAACTCTATGAGCTTGATTTCTCGCTTCATGACGCACTTCGTGTCGAAGCCGAATCGAAAATAGAATCAAGCAGGCGCATTACCTCTCTCAAGACGCTCCCCATTGATGGACCTGGCGAATTCATGTTGTGGAAATCTTACGCCCTTGTAGATATCGAGAACGTCGACCCGAAACTTCGGGAAAGGTAGCGCAAGAGGGTAAGGTCAAAGCTGATTATCCGGGGAGACGGCAAGGTATGGTAAAAAGGACAGGCGGTTTAGCCCTCTTCTACCCTATCTCAACGGCCTGCACCCCCTTGCGCTCATTCACTGTCGGTCGGTGCCACCAAGGATAGCGACATGTATGAGGATGGATAGGATAGAGTAATAGACATACAATAGAGTTACAATGATCTTTTACTATACAAAGACAAGGAGGAAAGGAAGGCACGTGTCGCAAAAGAGGGCCATTAGCGTTCCAGCGAAGATCGTTCTCGAACGCTTGAACACAGAGGGTCGGGCTCAAAGGAAGGACAGCTTCGCAAAGATAGCAAAGCGAGAGAAAGAAGAAGAGCTCAAAGTCCACCACCATCACCCACCAGACGTTCTAACCGCATCTCGTACGGATTAGCGCTTCCCACCCCCATTCCTGCATCGTATCCCGCACTACACACACTCGTACCCATGTTCCCCAATCCATTCAAGTCATGTCCGCTCTGCGCTCCATTTAAGCATCCTGGGTCGTCCGGATAGACGTTGCAGGAGGGAAAATCCCATGGGGATATTGGGCTGCATGGTGATTGATTCGAGGAGGAGAGGTTGGTAAAAGGAGAATCCATAGAGTCTTGCATCGGCGCATCACATGAAGGAGACGACGTCAACAACTCAGCTCTCGACGTCGAGCTTGAAGGAGTCACTGGCCCTCCTGCTGGTGTATCGTAACCACTGCCGCCCCCATATTGAGTCTGTTGCGATTGGGTAGGATAGGGAAGTGGGGCTTGATATTCCGTTTGTTGTTGCCTGCGGGACGAAGCACGAGGTTTCTTGGAGTGAATATTCAGAATCGTCGTGTTTTGGTGACTGTCGACCGCCTAAATTGGTCGTTGGAATGGCAAGAGGGAGATAAAATAGTAGACGTACAGCTATTTCCCCCAAATAGATAGGTCACGACGGACTGCCTGAGGTCGTCTTGTTTCTACCATGGTTTGTTGGAAGCCAAGCTATCAGGGAAAGCATTGTGAGTGATCACGACGTGGGGGACCAAAGAAAAATAACTAACCACCTTGGCCCAGACGTCGCTATAATTCCTCTCCAAAGCCCTTAATCTGCTCTTCAGATCTTCGTTGTCGTCTCTCAGCCTTCAAATGTCGTTTGTGAGAGCCCCGGCGGTTGAGGAGCTTCCCAAGAGGATCGCCTGTACGTACGGTCGTAAAATTGGGTCCATGAGCCATCACGTTCTGCCACCTGAAGCAGAGGAGGAGAAACACACAGACCTGCTGTTGTTGCTGTTGCATGATCTCCACTGCCGCGGAAGCCTGAGCAGCCTGCGATAAGCGCCGTGTAGGCGCTCTTCGTTTGATGTTCTCGAGGGCGTCGCGTCCGTCCGGCAAGAAAATCAGGATGGCAGAAGGCCCATGACTGGCTCGAGAGGTCAGCGTCGAGCGCTGAAGAGTATGAAAGGAAAAAGTACAGGTTTAGAGAGAGAGAGAGAGGGGGGAGGGAGAGAGAGTGGTGGTGGTGGGGAGGTTAAAAGAGCAGGGCGAAAAGAACGGGGAAAAGGGAGGAGCAATGGATCAAAAGAGAGAGATGGGGAAACTGTATAGTACGCACATGTTCACCAAACCCGTTACCATCCAAGTTCCTCACTTTATGAAAACCGTACTTGTTCAACTGTCGAACAAAGGATGCAAAATTCGAGTGATTGAACAATCTAGGCAGGATGGTTTTGGAGAACTCGTTCACGGCCTAGGCGTGGTTGTACGTAGGTCAACATCCAGCGGACCTCGCCCCGGGAGGGACACATACTTTGACGACAAAAAAGTCTCCTTTTGGGCTCCATGATAGAATTGGTTGGACAGCGGGGTCTTCGAGAATACTACACGAAAATAGTCAGAAATGATAGCCATTAGAGGCACCCAACCTCTTTTATCTATGTCCCGGAACTAGACAGGCTTGGTGACAACGAGAGGACAGGTTGAACGTCGGGAAAATGTCAACCTGCGTCGACCAGAGGATCGATGCCACAGGTTACCAAAGCCATTGAAACAGACCATGGAAATACGCACTTGTACAATCGTCTGACAAAAATACTTGTCGAGGGCCACGAGTCATCGCAGTGAGGTTTCCCAGTCAGTCCAAGTTTGGGCCTCTCCACATTTCCTGTGTTCAACATGTTTTGGAATGAGAAGGGCACTTGGACAAGTATGAGGAGCAGGCGGTCAGGTAGATTGAGTAGAGATACTTTCGGCTTGAAGAACCGTATAAATACCTTTCACTCATTGCCACAAGCTTCCAATAGACTTTGGGCTTTCTTCCCCCCGATCGTAGCCTCTTTGTCTTTTACGTAGCTGGAACTGGGGTTCAAAGATCGAAATACACGCCCTGACCTTGCTGGATGTACCTTCTGAGCCTGAAAACACACGCGTAGCGCCCGCAAAGCCGCGAAGAAGGCCATCGAGAATCGAAAATGTGACAAACCACTGTCGAGGCACGTTTTGACATGGTCGAAGATTGTCCAGACCTTCACCCATCACTCTGTGAGACCCTGATTAGCACCCAAGGCGGGGCCCAGCCAACTCCAGGGATCTTTCCGAGATATGCATTGGAACTAAGAAGCCAACGTGAAGATGTACAAACGCTCAAGCGGTCATAGATGACGGTTTTCACTCTAACTACATGAAATTATCCCCTTTGCTGTGTTTGCGTATATTTGCACTTGTAAGTCTCCCCTTGAGCGCAGCGAATTTTCCTATCGGGAAATCTGCTCTAGACTCCTGTAGTCCCTATTAGACGCACGGATTCTTTGTCAGCCTTGAGTGAACAAACTCGTAAATCCGCCCTGACTTTGACTGAACACTAGGTTTCTGAAACTGCGCTCTCGGTGCTCAACTTTGGCCGCTCTTTCCTTGATCTAAATTGCGTCTAACTTCACCAGATTGAAGGTCTTGGCGTGCTCTCCTGGGGGTTCATGCACCATGATTCTTGGACCATACTTAAAACACCTTCAACCAGCGCACGGCTGATCCCCGGTACCGGCGTATTTCAAGACAAATAATTTATCTGTCAATTCCATTCGTAGTCCTGGCTGACTGGCGTCTAATCGCGTCCGACTTCTGTGCACAATGCCATGTACCAACCTTGCCGTCGAGCTCATAAACGGAACGACTTATTGCGTGGTAGATTCCAATATTCGTCCACTCACACAACACTGTAAAGGTAAGGATTCGACTCAAGATCCAACCCACTGCAGTAGTGAAGCCAGGAGGGTCTTCTTTAGCACGAAAATCGCTGGTTCCAAATGTTACATATGTAAACAAAGTCCACCACCGTGAGGGACCTGGGTCATCGTTTCTCCCTTCCCCTCAGTGCCTGACAAGCCTGTAATCGAAGCCCATTCCCAAGCCGAGTCGGTATCCGTGTGCATTTTGATTAGCCACTCAGATTCGCCGAATTGGTCTTGGACAATTAATATTGAAATATGATTTTAAAAGACCAAGAGAGATGTTTGAGATGCTCTATTGGGCGAATGTTTGGGCTGTGATTCGATTCACCAAGAGTAATGTGTTGGCGCCACCCTTGTAGGGAAAGGTAGGGAAGGAATATGCAGGACCGTGGCATGCATGTAAATATTGAAAATATGTAGGCTAGAATAGTCAGATGTAGTAGACGAGACTTGAAAGAGATTTGCGCTCGAGGACAGGGTCATAATATCTTGTACTACACAAACACGAATAAGAAAGGGGGGCCATAAGTGACGAAAGAGGGTCGTTAGCGTTTAGATGAAGATCATTCTCAAACCAGGCTAAACACGAAGAATCACTGAGAAGCGAGGGCGACCTCACAAAGAAAGCGAAAGTTCGAGAGAAAGGAGATGTTTTTCAGTCCACCCACAACACCCACAGCACGTGTTACCAAGTTCCATACTGATTCGCGGACCCCTCACCCATCCCAATGTCATACTCCGTCAGGCTCCCCTCACCGAGACTCATACCCACATTCCCCAGCCCACCTAAGTCTTCTCCACTTGGACCGGACAGTGGCGCTCCATTCCCGCATCCTGAGTTGGCGAGATAGACGTTAGGCGGGGGGAAGTCCCAGTGAGATATCGGGCTGGACGGAGATTCAGGTTGATTCGGGGTAGAGAGGTCCACGAGGGAGCAATTGATTATGTCCTGCATCGGCACATCGCCTGTAGGCAATGACGCCAAAAATTCAGGACTGCAGACCGAACTTGAAGGTGTCAGCAGGCCTCCTGTTGGTAAACCGTAACCACCAATGCCACCAGACTGAGATTGTTGGGACTGCGTAGAATAGGGAGGTGGGGCTTGAT